TCAGATCCCTTGCACACTTGACACGTAGCTGCTTGATGTACGGAATGAAGCTAAGCTTACGGGCAAAGATAAGCCCCAAGAACTTTGCCTCAGGGACCACACGAATAACTATATCACCGAGCTTGAGATCAGGGTGGAAAACCCATTGGCAGCAAAAATGCATGCAAATGGTTTTGGAAAAAGAAAATTTAAAACTGTTTGCAGTGGTCCATGTCAACAACCGATTGAGGGCAGTCTGAAGCTGCTGTTCAATAAACCTCATGTTCGACAACTGACACGAGATGTGGAAGTCGTCAACATAGAGCCCATTTGCAACCATCGGAGGAAGATTATTAGTGATGGCATTAATTTTAACACTAAAAAGTGTGACACTCAAGACATAGCCCTGAGGGACTCCAAGTTCCTGTGGAAAGGAACGGGAAAGAGTTGAACCCACACAGACTTGGAATCACCTGTTCAGTAAAAAGTTTTGAATAAAAATGGGTAAATGGCCATGCAACCATAGGAGTGGAGGTCCTGCAAATTGCTATACCTCCACATAGTGTCATAAGCCTTCTCGAGATCAAAGAACACAGAAACAAGGTGCTCTCTCTTGAGAATGGCTTCCTTGATCAACGTTTCAAGTCGAATCAGATGGTCCATTGTGGAGCACTGTCGACGAAACCCACACTGGGTAGAGGAGCGTGTTTGATTCGAGGAACCAAACAAGACGAGCATTAACCATCCTCTCTAAAACCTTACAAAGACAACTAGTCAAAGCGATGGGACAATAATTAGAAGGAATCTTGGAAGCCTTCCCAGGTTTAGAGAAAGGGAGGACAATAGCCTGGTGCCAAGCATCAGGAAAACATGCTCCTGCCGGATCCAGTTAAAAATAACCAGAAGAATAGCAAGAGAGGCAGGAGAGAGATGGCGCAACATCTCATAATGAACATCATCAGGTCCGACCGATGAAGAGCAAGTTTGAGTTCCACCACTGTAAGTGGGTGATTATAATCATAGAGACAATCGGCCTGAAAGGAAAGAGGTGATCCCTCTGCCCGAGACTTGATGGCCAAGAAGGCATGGGAAGAAACAGAAGTGCTAGAAGCACGAGAAAAGCTTTGACCGAGAGCATCAGCAATGCTCTGGACATCAGAAACTTCCTGACCATTGGAGAGCAAGATGAAATGGGGATGGGAAGCATACCTCCCAGTGACTTTCCG